CATGTATAAGAATATATAAATCTACAACTGATTATAAGTTTTGAACAAACATTTCTTGTCTTGTAATGAAAAGAAACGGCTGTACTGGGAATGAATATATATATATATATTTTTACAAGAAAAATATTGTTTAAATACAATTTGAAGAAAGCAGGCATTCTGCTGAAATATTTTTTAACATTGTCAAACATTGTAGTTTTTCTTTTCTTTAACTTTGCTTAAATCGCGCTTTTCTCTTGACAGATTTAATAATAATAGAAGAAGAAGAAGAAGAAGAAGAAGAAGAAGAAGAAGAAGAAGAAGAAGAAGAAGAAGAAGAAGCAGCAGCAGCAGCGGCGGAGGAGTAGAAGGTAAGAAATCGCGCTCTTTTCTTAACTTTCTTAAGAAGAAGAAGGTGGGGGAGAAGGAGGAGGAGGAAACAAGAAGAAGAAAAGAAGAACAAGAAGAAAGGGAGAAGGAAGAGGAAAGTAATCGCGCTCTTCTCTTAACTCGTTTAATAATAAGAAGAAGAAGGAGGAGGAGGAAGAGATAAGAAAAAGAGACGAAGGAAAAAAGAACGTAAGATAAAAATCAAGAAATTATACTGGCAGCAAACAGCATGCATGCGCATAGAGAATATACAAAAATAGAAAAGGGAGTAAGGCAAGGATGCGTCTTCTCACCGGACCTGTTCAACCTATACAGCAAGACAATTCTGAGAGAATTGGAAACCCTACCGGGATTTAGCATTGGCGGCCACAATCTTAACAGCATAAGATACGCAGATGACACAGTGCTGATAGCAGATACGGAAAAGAAATTACAAAATCTCCTACAGAAGGTGGCGACGGAGAGTGAGAAGAAAGGACGAAGTATAAACTACAAGAAGACAGAATGCATGGTCATCAGTAAAAGGATGAGACCCGAAATGCGATTTGCAGGTCGGAAACAATGGAATCAAGCAGACGCAGAACTATATGGGAAGCGTCTTGACAGAGGACGGTAAGTGCGACACTGAGATCCGTAGAAGTTCTAGGATGGCCAAGGTCAATTTTCAAAAGCTGAGCAGAGTTTTGCGAGACAGGAGGACTTTTTTTGGCAACAAAGAATACTGAGCTGTTACGTGACATCTGCTCTTCTTTGAAACATATAACTAGAAAGAATAATAATAACATATGTATGCTGTTGACTTTCCACACTACCACATACAAAAGTTATGAAAGGAAACTCCTATCAATAGAAAGAGCTACAACAGTTACTGGATTAGATAAATCTAATTTCTCTTAAAAATAACACTTTTAATATAGATATTTTATAACGATTTACTAAACGTAGATTAGATGTGGCACAAGGATGAAAGTTTAGAAGACCATTGAGGAACAAACTCACTATTCAGTCATAATTAATCGAACAAGACAAGCTTGTTAACCATTAGACCACGTCGAGGTACCCCATAAAAATATTTTATATTTCCCAACCTACAGTAACACTAACTGTTCGTCCAATGAATAGTGAATGTTTCCTTTTAAGGAAAAGGCTAATCTTACTATTGCTATCACTATTTTAAACAATATGAAACCTGATTACATTATTGACTACCAGAAGAGTATAACTACAATGGTAACAAGTAAAACCAACATAAAGTTGGTATTTGTCTATATTTCTGAGATGAGGTATTATGTATATTATTTGGACTATTGTACTCATTTTTGTCGCCATATTTATCACGACGTTTCGGCCGTTGTACGCTCCTCAAGGACACATGGCACAGTGAAGAAGCCGTTAATTAGATCAAGTGACAAACCCCAAAGAGTGTGAGTTCATTACCCGGTTAAGGCAGTGGAGAACTTTCAGAGGGAAATTAACAGGAGATAACTGATAACTGACATCCATTAAACATGGCACGTGGAACTATAACAGTTTACTCCAGTGAGCCAAACAAAGGGTTCAGTTCGACATTCCAACCACCTGAAGAAGACCGGAGCGTACAACGGCCGTAACGTTGTAATAAATATGGCGGCAAAGATGAGGACAATAGTCCGAATAATGTAAATAATAAACATAAAGTTGATTGTGAAAAGTCGTTTATTGTAAAAATTTAAACTTATAAAAATTAAAACACATTCCTATCAGGAAGCTTTAAGCGTCTATTAAGGATAGAAAGACGTGGAGAGCCATGATCGTAAAGATAAGGAAACGGATCAATATTTTTCATAGGAATTGATTTTAGAAGTTGAAACTCTCCAACTGCTCATATAAATATATCTATATTTTGAAAATATTGCCGCCATCGTTTGGTTAATATCAACGTAAAAAATGAGTGATCCAAAGGTGACTGGTGATAAATAGTGAAGCCATACATTTTCCAAGACTATTAGCGTGAAGTGAAGGCAACAGGTTTAGGATGGAATTTGAACCCGGCTTCCTGATTCCATTTCCGACGACAATAACCATTACAACATTTATTTCTGTGAAAAAATACAGAAAATGTGACATAAGGCCTAAAAAAGGGGGAATGAGGAAAAGGATGGTCTTCATCTATCTTAATGTTAAACTTAACTAGCCACAAGCACTAACCCAAACATACAAACAATATTCCTAACACCAAAAGAACACATTCTTACTAACCTTTCTTACTACATCCACCATAATAACTCATTGTCTCAATGAAAATCCTAAATAGTTCCCATATGTACAAATCATCGTATGAGGGGTGGGGGGAATAAAACAACAAATTAAAAAAATCCCCAGTGAGTATATACAATATGAATATAACAATTACGCTAGCAGCAGTTGTACTGACTTTCTTTTCTAAATAAAATTGTAAAATTTTCATATTTATTTTTTATTATTTTAACCCGACGGTAAACTGAAATTTGTGAATGTTATGCAAATTTTCGAGACTAATTTTTGGGAAAACACCCGCGTCCTTGACAAATACGATAATTTCTCTCTTATTTCTTAAGCGTTACATTTTAATGGATCCACGTGTTTGAGTAAACGCCATTTTTTCTTTTTCTTTTTCTTTTTTTTTTTTTGTTAAACAGTGGGAGTTATATCCATCAGCCTGGGCACTCGAGTATTTTACCAAAAAAAAAAAAAAAAGCGCTATCCGGCAAGGATCTAACCCGAGGTCACCTTTCTAAGGGAAATAACTCTGATCCGGGGTATTTTAGACCGATCAGATACGGAGCTCTTCACAGAGAACTTCACAGTCTTGTAAGCTTCAAGAATACGCATCTTCCTCTTCATACCTTTGTGAAAGCTCATATCTACTCGAAGACCATGCTGCTAACTTTATTTTCGCATTCGAAACGTAAACGAGGAAATTTGTAAGGAATTAATTGATTATATTTTTAAGATTGTAGTGAGCTTAAACATAGTAGCAGTAGCAGCCCTAAATAAACCTTTTAACAGCAGCGGCGCTCGAACACGTTAACACTAAAATAACACACACACACTCTCTCTCTCTCTCTCTCTCTCTCTCTTCCGGGTTTTCCTCCGTCGAACTGGTGACATCAACAAATTTTCACGCTGAAGCTAAAAGGGCTGTGAACGCTTCACACTAAAACACACCAACACAGTAAGTCCCACTAGAATATATTCATGGCTATTTCGTTGTGTATGAAATGTACTTGTAATAAAATAAACTCTTTTTTTAAACTTTGCTTTTGTTAATTTAGTTTTATTAAATATTATCTTACAGTGAAAATCATTGTTCAGTTATTTTGCGCATGTACTCTCTTCACCACCATTATTTTATGTACTACAAAATATTGCTACAGAAATCTTACACATTTACTTAATTATTGAAGTAGCTAATCATTAAAATATCACGATACTTCTCATTACTTAAAGTTATATAAATTATATTGACATGAAGAACAGAGTGCGAGCGATGGAAACATCAAGAACGATATATATATATATAGAGAGAGAGAGAGAGAGAGAGAGAGAAAGAGAGAGAGGGGGAGAGTGAAAGATGGGAAGAGAGATGCTCCTCACTATGAAAAGAGAGACAGAATAAAAGATAAATAAATGCGAAATTAATGGTTTCAGAAAGTCTGCGAGAAAATTAGACGTGATCTCTATGATGATTTTCAAAGCGTAGCTTAGATATGGCGCAAGGCAAAAAATATGGGGATCTCACTTAGTATTCAGTCGTTATTTATCTAGCGAGACAAGCTTACCAACCATTACGCCATCGAAAAGCGTCCTAATGATTTTTGTAAGCGTAGCTTAGATGTGGCACAAAGCCGAATGTATGGAGCACCCAATGAGGACCGTGGTCACTATTTAGTCATAACTGGTCTAGCGAGACGAGCTTGCTAATCATTACACCACGTCAAAGCGCCCTAATGATTTTTCTAAGCGTAGTTTAGATGTGGCACAAGGCCGAATGTATGGGGCACCTAGTGAGGATCAAACTCCCTATACAGTTGTAATTCGTCTAGCGAGATAAGCTTGCTAACCATTACACCACGTTGAAGTGCCCCTGAGACAATCTCTCCGGTGTGAGTAAAAAATACAAAAAAAAAAAAACGAAAACGTGCAACCAAGGCAGACAAACAGACAGACAGAGAGCGAGGAAGTGATCTCGAAGAAGGAGAAGGTGAAACAAAGGTGAGAGTAGAAGAATAAGAGAGAGAAAGGGAGAGAGAATGGTTGTGTGTGGGAGTGTGTGTGCGAGAGAGAGAGAGAGAGAGAGGGGGGGAGGAGTGATCTCGAAGAAGGAGATGAGGAAACAAAAGTCAGAGTACAAGAATAAGAGAGAGTGAGAGAGAGTGAGAGTGAGAGGATGGTTGTGTGTGGGAGCCTGTGTGCGAGAGAGAGAGAGAGAGAGAGAAATCGTGAAAAAGTCAAAATGGAAGAGAGAAGAGTAAGAGAGATCCCACGAGAGAGAGAGAGAGAGAGAGAGAGAGTGAGATGTCAACAGAGAGAGAAAGAGAAAAAGAAAGTCATAAAAGTCGAAAAGAGAGATAATGAAAGAAAGTTAAATTCGGAGTTGAACGTAAAATAAATCAAGATGAAAAGAGAAAGAGAGAGATGCAGAGAGAAAGTGAGAGAGACGGAGAAAAAGACAGAGAGAGAAGCAAAGAAAGAGAAAAAAAAAGAAAGATCAAGAAATGAGGTAGAGAAAGAGAGAGAGAGTGCGAGAGGGAAGAGAGAGTGAAATTAAGCAAGAGTAAAAGCAAAAGGGAGAGGAGAAAAAAGAGAGAAAGAAGAGAAAATATGAGCGTGGAGAGAAAGAGAGAAAGATCAAGAGAGGGGCAGAGAAAGAGAGGGAGAGAGATAAAGAGAGAGGTGGAGACAGAAAGAGAGAGATAAACAGAGGAAGAAAGAAGGGAGAGAGGGAGTTGAAAAAAAAGGAAGAGGTGGAGAGAGAGAGAGAGGTGGGGAGAAAGGGAGAGATAGAGAACGTGAAAGAGAAAGATCGAGAAAAAGTCTAAGAAGGTAGAAAGAAAGAAAGAAAGAAAGAAAGAAAGAAAGAAAGAAAGAAAGAAAGAAAGAAAGAAAGAAATATCGAGAGAGCGGAAGGGGAGAGAGAAAGCGAAATAAAGATCAAGAGGGAGAAGAAAGAGAGAGGAGAGAAAGAGAGGCAAAGAAAATGAGAAAGGAGGAGAGAAAGTGAGAGTGTGGAAAGAAAGAGAAGAATCAAGGAAGAGAAGGGGAGAGAAAGAGAGGGAAAGAGATAAAGAGAGAGGTGGAGAGAGAGAAAGGGAGCGAGAGAGTGAGATAAATAGAGGGAGAAAGAGGGGGACTGGAAATGAGAAAAGAGAGAAAAAGCTGAAGAGGGAGGGGGAAGAGAAAGATAGAAATCATGTCTAAGAATAGAGTGATTGGATGGAAGCAAAGTAAATTTGAAGCCAAGCATAAAAAAGAACGTTCTAGAAAAAGCTCGAAAGTGTAAGAATAGAGAGAGAGGGGGGAAGAGAAAGAGAGGGAGAGAGATAAACAGAGAGGCGGTCAGAAAGAGAGAGCGAGATAAGTAGAGGGAGAAAGAGGGAGAACAAGTGAAAGATGAGAGAGACGGAAAGGGTAAAAGAGATCAAATCTGATTGCGTGTGGGCGAGAGAGAAAGAAAGAAAGAAAGAAAGAAAGAAAGAAAGAAAGAAAGAAAGAAAGAAAGAATGTGTGTGTATTCTTAAAAAAGAGAGAAAGATTAGTGCAAGATGAAATGAAAGAATTTTGAATGAAAATGAAGATCAAGAAAGGGGGAGAGAAAGAGAGTGAAGAGAGAAAATGAGAGAGTGGGGAAAAAGAGTGAGAGAATGATGAAGAGAGAGGGGGAAGAGAAAGAGAGATAAACAGACAGGCGGCCAGAAAGAGAGAGCGAGATAACTAGAGGGAGAAAGAGGGGGAGAGACAGGGGAAGAGAAAGAGAGAGATGCATCTCATGCCCAAGAATAGAGTGAGTAGATGGGAGCAAAGTGAGAATAAAAAGAACGTACCAGAGAAAGGTCGATAGGGTAAGAATAGAGAGAGAGGGGGATAAAAGAAAGGTGAAGTTGAAGCTATTTGTAAGAGAGGGCGTGAGAGAGACAAATTGAGAGGCATCATCTCACAGCATGACAAAGAGAGAAGAGATAAAAACAAGGTGAGTGAGAACGACATGAAAGAGAGAGACAGCAAGCGAGCGAGAGAGTGGGAGAGAGAGAGAGACGGTAATCTTGAAATTGAAAATAAGGAATAATAAAAGAACACGGGAAAGATGAGAGAGACGCAAAGTGTAAGAGAGATCAATTCTGCTTGCGTGTGAGGGGAGAGTTTTATTTAAAAAAAGCGAGACAGAGGAGGGCAACATAGAATGAAAGAATTTTGAATGAAAAATCAAATTTAAGAGAGAAACACAGAAAGAGTGTTAGGGAGAGAGAGAGGGGGGAGATAAAGAGGAGGGAAACATAGAATGAAATAATTTTGAAAGAAAAAACTAAAGTTTTAAAGAGAGTCACAAAGAGTGTTAGAGCGAATGAGAGAGAGACAAAGATAAGTGCAACATAGAAGGGATGAATTTTGAATGAAGAAAATCAAGTGTAAGAGAGAGAGAGAGATTGCTTGAGGCTGTGTGAGAGAGAGACAAGGAGGAGTGCTAAACGGAATAAAAGAATTCTGTATGAAAAATTCCAGGCTTGAAAAGAGGGAGGAGGTGGGAGGAAGAAGTTCAAAGATGTATGAAAGAATGAATGAAAAAGACTCAAGAAAGAGAGAGAGAGAGAGATGATGTAGAGAGAGAAGGGTGAATTTTGAATGAAAAAAATATTGAATGAAAAATAACAGAGAGAGAGAGAGAGAGAGAGAGATGATCGATAGAGAGGAGAGAGGGTGACGAAAGATGTATTCAAGATGGAATGAGAGAATATTGAATGAAAATGCCGAAGATGTATTCAAGATCGAATGAGAGAATATTGGAGAGAGAGAGAGAGAGAGAGATGATCGATAGAGAGTGAGAGAGGGTGACGAAGATGTATTCAAGATGGAATGAGAGAATATTGAATGAAAAATGCCGAACTTAAGAGAGAGAGAGAGAGAGAGAGAGAGAAGATGATCGATAGAGAGTGAGAGAGGGTGACGAAGATGTATTCAAGATGGAATGAGAGAATATTGAATGAAAAATGCCGAACAGAAGAGAGAGAGAGAGAGAGAGAGAGAGATATGATCGATAGAGAGGAGAGGAGAGGTGACGAAGATGTATTCAAGATGGAATGAGAGAATGAATGAAAATGCCGAACAGCCGAGAGAGAGAGAGAGAGAGAGAGAGATGATGATCGATAGATGGAATGAGAGAGAGGGAAGAGAGAGAGAGAGAGAGGAGATGACGAAGATGTATTCAAGATGGAATGAGAGAATATTGAATGAAAATGCCGAATGCCGAACAGAAGAGAGAATGAACAGAAGAGAGAGAGAGAGAGAGAGAGAAGATGATCGATAGAGAGGAGAGAGGGTGACGAAGATGTATTCAAGATGGAATGAGAGAATATTGAATGAAAAATGCCGAACAGAAGAGAGAGAGAGAGAGAGAGAGAAGGATCGATAGAGAGGAGAGAGGGTGACGAAGATGTATTCAAGATGGAATGAGAGAATATTGAATGAAAAATGCCGAACAGAAGAGAGAGAGAGAGATGAGAGATAGAGAGGAGAGAGGGTGACGAAGATGTATTCAAGATGGAATGAGAGAATATTGAATGAAAAATGCCGAACTTAGAAATATTGAGAGAGAGAGAGAGAGAGAGAGAGGATCGATAGAGAGTGAGAGAGGGTGACGAAGATGTATTCAAGATGGAATGAGAGAATATTGAATGAAAAATGCCGAACAGAAGAGAGAGAGAGAGAGAGAGATGATCGATGAGAGTGAGAGAGGTGACGAAGATGATCGATGGAATGAGAGAATATTGAATGAAAAATGAACTTAAGAGAGAGAGAGAGAGAGACGATGAGAGGAGAGAGGGTGTATTCAAGATGGAATGAGAGAATATTGAATGAAAAATGCCGAACAGAAGAGAGAGAGAGAGAGAGAGAGAGAGATATGATCGATAGAGAGTGAGAGAGGGTGACGAAGATGTATTCAAGATGGAATGAGAGAATATTGAATGAAAAATGCCGAACAGAAGAGAGAGAGAGAGAGAGAGAGAGAGAAGATGATCGATAGAGAGAGAGAGGGAGAGAAGATGAGAGATATGATGACGAAGATGTATTCAAAATGGAATGAGAGAGAAGATTGAATGAAAATGACGAACATTCAAGAGAATGAGAGAATATTGAATGAAAAAATGCCGAACTTTGGAAGAGAGAGAGAGAGAGATGATCGATAGAGAGTGAGAGAGGGTGACGAAGATGTATTCAAGATCGAATGAGAGAATATTGAATGAAAAATGCCGAACTTAAGAGGGAGAGAGAGAGAGAGAAGATGATCGATAGAGAGTGAGAGAGGGTGACGAAGATGTATTCAAGATGGAATGAGAGAATATTGAATGAAAAATGCCGAACTTAAGAGAGAGAGAGAGAAGATGATCGATAGAGAGTGAGAGAGGGTGACGAAGATGTATTCAAGATGGAATGAGAGAATATTGAATGAAAAATGCCGAACAGAAGAGAGAGAGAGAGAGAGAGAGAGAGAGATAGAGGAGAGAGGGTGAGATGATCGATGAATGAGAATATTGAATGAAAATGGAGAGAGAGAGAGAGAGAGAGAGAGATGATCGATAGAGAGAGAGGGTGACGAAGATATTTCAAGATGGAATGAGAGAATATTGAATGAAAAAAGAAGATGCCGAACAGAAGAGAGAGAGAGAGAGAGAGATAGAAAAATAGATCGATAGAGAGTGAGAGGGGTGACGAAGATGTATTCAAGATGGAATGAGAGAATATTGAATGAAAAATGCCGAACAGAGAGAGAGAGAGAGATGATCGAGAGAGAGAGAGGGTGAGAAGATGATCGATGGAATGAGAGAATATTGAATGAAAAATGCTGAACTTAAGAGAGAGAGAGAAGATGATGTAGAGAGGATGGAATGAGAGAAGATGGAATGAAAAATGCCGAACTGAAAAATGCCGAACTTAAGAGAGAGAGAGAGAAGATGATCGATAGAGAGTGAGAGAGGGTGACGAAGATGTATTCAAGATGGAATGAGAGAATATTGAATGAAAAATGCCGATTATAAGAGAAAGAGAGAGATTTAGAAAGTGTGTGTGAGAGTCGGAAAGAGACAAAGATAAATGTAAAATAGAATAAGTGTAAAATGGAATGAAAGAAATTTGAATGTAAAAGGTTAAGTGTAATAGAGAGAGAGGCAGATTGTGTGTATGTGTGAGAGAGAGAGAGAGAGAGAATGACAAAGATGAGTGCAAGATGGAATGAAAGAATTTTGAATGAAAAACAGCCAAAATAGAGCGTGAGAGAGAGAGAGAGAAAGTGAAAGGGAGAAAGTGCGCGGTAAAGTGTGTGAGTGTGCCAATAATGAGTGAAAGATGGAATAAAAGAATTTTGAATTAAAAAAGACAAGTGAGAGGGAAAAGGTGAGAGCAAGGCGGAGTTAGGGAGAGTCAAAGATGAGTGCAAGACGGAATGAAAGAATTTTGAATGAAAAATTACAGACAGTGATAGAGAGAAAAAAAATAAGATTTTCTAAGAAATGAAAGAAATTTAAGACAAAAAGTTGAATGGAGAAAAATGGAATTTGGGAGAGGAAGATGCCAAGATAGCGTGAGAAAGGAATTCTTTTCGACAATAGAACGATAGAGGAAAAAAAAGAGAGAAAAAGAAAAAAAACTTTTATGCGTTATAGAAACACACTCTCTCTCTCTCTCTCACTCTCTCTCTCTCTCTTCTATTCTCTTTTCTATCTTTATCTCTCCCATTTTCTCTCACATTATGACGCACCTGCTTACTCTTCGTCTATTGCCTCAAACATCTCAATTAGTCTAATGGCAAAAGTTTGTCGGATCAATTTGGTTCACTGGTCAGAAGTCGAAGAAACCTCCCAAACTTTGTAAGATACGCGATGTGCGTCAGACGAAGCGTGTCTAAGGCCGTCGCATTTTTAATGCTGACTCTCGTAATCCTTGATGCCCGGGCTTATCACTTGTAGGGCACTTTAATCGGCCAACTGTGAGGGCCCCCTAACCTCAACCCAACCGCCACCCGACTACCCACATCACGGCTCGGAAAAGTCGAAAACAGCGGCAAGGCGGGAAGAGGGAAGATGTCGGCTGAATTTAAACGCCTCGGCGCACAGAAATGATCCGAACTGCCCACCACTTACTTGATTTCGATCTGACAGGCAAACCAGCCAACGAACGGAGAACAACTAGCCAAACAGACCGACAGAAAGAGCAAAACTAACGAAACGGGCCGATGAGAAGTACGGAGGTAGGCAGGTAGACAGGCAGGCAGGTAGTTAGATAGGTGGGAAATGATGGTCGAGAGCGGGTGGTTTAGAAGGGCTATCCAACCAGATGGAATAAGATATTGTACGATATTTAATTTGGTCATTGAAGTCGTTCTCCTTGCACCTTTCACTCACCTTGCCCTGTTTGCTTTTCATTTACAGTATATTTGTCATTTACGATTATATATATATATATATATATATATATAAAATAAAGATTTTTTGATAAAAAAGTTTGTCATTAGCTGATTGATGTTACCTTCAGCATCCCGACTCTAGGGTCTCGTAGGTTGTCCTGTCCATCCACTCTTCAGGGGATATCAGCAATTTACTGCTTATATTGTTTTTTTTTATTTTTCCTTTAGATATATATATATATATATATATATATATATATATATATATATATATATATGTATGTGTATATATTGATATAATAGGAAAGAACCGTTAGATTGATGTGTTAGGCTTTTCGTTATATATATATATATATATATATATATATGCGTAGGATTTTTGTGAGTAAAAGTTTGTCACTTAGCTGATTGGTGTTACCTTCAGCATCCCGAATCTAGGGTCTCGTAGGCGGACCTGTCCGTCCACTCTTCAGGGGATATCAGCAATTTACTGCTTATATTGTTGTTTTTTTAATTTTTCTTATTATATATATATATATATATATATATATATATATACTGGATTCTCTAGTCGTTTTCGATGTATGAGAGTCAAGCAGCTCAGTTCTTAGTACCAACAGTTAGAATACTCGTACATATCATTTGATTATAGTGATGAAAGCGTGTGCATATATATATATATATATATATATATATATATATATATATGTGTATATATATATGTGTGTGTGTCTGTGCGTGTCTGTGTGTGAATGAAAATTTCTCAGAGCTAACCTGTAGAAAAAGCCAGTATTTATAAATGTAAAAGACACTAGGAAAACTGTAATAGTTGCCGACGCGTTTCGTCCAATGTGGACTTTCTCAAAGGAAAAAACGAAATGAATTTATTTAAACAAAGTAAACAAACCAAAAGTCCTTAGCAACTAGAGGAATTTGGAGAATTCTATTTTTATACTGTTAACTGAATATTACGCCAATTACTGTCACGTGTGGAGATATTGTTATTATTTCTGTGTTGACGGATTCAACCATTTTCTTTTGATTTCACGATATTGTTGTGTACGTTTGTTTGGGAGAGTAGTAATTATCTTAGGAAAGGTGATCTTGGGGAAAAACCTGGGTGTAGATTAATATTTTGGTAATATTCAATGGTGCCACTCCCTAGAATTTTTCTTCTGAGTGAGTTATTTTCTTTTTTATGAGTGTAGCATTTTTAAAATCAAAATTGTGGTTGAATTTATTTCTATGTATGACTATTGCATTAGTTAAGTTGTTTTTTGTGAGGTCTCTTTTGTGCCCATGAATGTGTTTTTTTTTAATTTCTACTTTTTTCTCCAATATATTGGGAGGAAAATATGTATTTATAGGATAAATATATACACACACACACACGTAATATTTCACGGACGTATAAATATATTTATTCCTAGGGTGCTATAAAGACAGTGCTCAGTGTTATGAGACAGAGCTATATGTATATATTATTGAATATACATAATATAGCACGATTCGATGCTTCATGCGTTGATGCAATCTTCAGGTGCAAATACAATCTGGCCATTAATTCGCGTTCCTGTGATGAGGATTCAAAATTTTGTGTTAAAACTTGTTTATTTAATTATTGTTGCCAAAAATATTAGAATTAACAAATAATATTTTAAAACGGGACCAGGAGATCGCAACAGGAAAACTGGACCAGGTGGTCGCAACAGGAAAACTGGACCAGGTGGTCACAACGGGAAAACTGGATCAGATGGTCACAACGGGAAAACTGGACCAGGTGGTCACAACAGGACGAGGGATCATCATTTTAACATAGAGCTTATTGTTCAAAGTAGAGTCCAATAATTTTATAAAATCTCGGAGAAATCCAGTTAAATATCTTTCACCATTTCTAAAATACAACGGTTCAAAGCTTATTCTAACAATTGGACAATGTTGCTGCTACACCCAGTATATATATATATATATATATATATATAATAAAAAAACTTAAACACTAATATTCCATGGTCATAATTTATTCCATTGGAATCGTAAATACGATCCAATTCATCAGAACTACAAATTCAAAATGAAAACAGAAAAAACAACTCCGGAAATCAAAACAGAATTTAGAGAGAGTGTGAGTATGAGGGGGAGGGAGATTAAACCTTAACAGAGAGAATATTAGGAGAGGTGGGTGGAAGGGGTTTATTTAAGAGAAAAATGAATGTTGTCAGATGTATAAAGATACATTTCGTGGTGACATACACACACCATAGACAATTTAATGTTAGAATAAGAGGGAGGGAAAGACGAGGCAAATTCAAAAGGAAAACAGAAAATTCTTAAAATATACATGTGTGGGTATTTATTTATATATTTCGCATACGTATGTAGATTTACCACTAATATTATCTACATATATATATATATATATATATATATATATATATGTGTGTGTGTGTGTGTGTGTGTGTGTGTGTGTGTGTGTGTGTGTGTGTGTAGATAGATAGATAGATAGATAGATAGATATAATATCAAATCCGTAAGTGGAAAGGATAATCCATGTCGGTCTTTTTAATATAAGACATCAAAAAGATGTATCACTAAAGAAAACTCGATGTATAGCATACAGAGCAATATGATATACATCAAGGAAAAACTTAACGCATCATCCAAATTACGGTTATAAATTATAATTTACTTCAACGGGTAAGTTTTTAAGACCCATCTCATCTTTTTTAAAATACGGTGGGTTCGCAGATTCCAATAAGCTTTCGCATTTATGATTTCTAAAAATCTACTTACGAACAGCATTCCCTAGATTTTAACAAATTAATCCCTTTTTGTATTTAAAGTTGAAGAAAAGAAAAAACTTGTAAAAATTCATTTTTCGTCGGAAAAATATTTTGGTTTCAGACAATAATGTCCTTAACATATATTATTCATAAAAGCCTTTAAAAGCATTTCTGATTAAAAAAATGTCTTAGTTTTATTGTTTTATATGTTACAATTTCGAGGCTGTTTTAGGGTAACATAAGTATTTGATTTTTACAACAAAAAAAAAGAAGTTTAATACTCTTCAACTAACTTAAAAGCTAGCTCCTGCGGAGGACTGTTAATTTAGCCTTCATCACGATAAGTAGGGAGGAGTAGATGTGATAAGCAACAATAAACTAACAAAGAACTTAAAACTGATTGCTGCATTTAATTATTGCATTAATACGTCAGCTTACCTTTTAAAAGTTCAACAAAAATTTTTTGCCGCCAATTAATTTAAAGAAAATTTGTACGTAGCTCCTTACTTCAAATACAAACAATTATTTTTATTTCATGGGTGAGTTATGCTGGATTTCGCAATTTAATTTGGATTATTTCCAAATTTATTTCCAAGTTATAAAAATTATCGTACAAAAAAAATAATCACAGAATCACTGAAAACAATTACAATAATTAAAACTTGGGAATCCAATATATATATATATATAGATTGATGAGAGTTTTTGACCCTGGGTTTCACGTTTTTGCGATCGTCAGACAAACACTTTTCATATATATATATATATATGTGTGTGTGTGTGAAATGTAATGGATTCGACTGGAATTCGAACTCGGCTCTGCGATTCCTCAATCAAGCCTCTATCCATTACTCCACCGTGCCTCCAGTCGAAACCATTATATTTCACTTACGTGCTAATACCCTTGGGAAAGGTATGAATCCTCTTCCTCTCCCTCCAGCTATGGGTAAAATAGCAGGACAGACTGGGTTCTATAGCCTTGGATGGCAACTGGTCTAGGAGAAGGACAACTCTGAATTCAAAACCTGCGGAGGTTCGTTTGGGAACCTTGTGGCATTCGGTGCACCAGGTCTCTGTATTCGTCCCTTCAAAAAGTGTGAATGGTCCTGCACGAAGCCTTCAACACTATAATCAAATCTCATGTGCCGGTGTCCGGAAACTGATCGGTTTGACCCTCATACGTCGAATCTCAACAGGAGAGTTGATTAGAGTCGATTATATATCTATATCTATATCTATCTATCTATCTATCTATATATATATATATATATATATATATATGCATATGTATATATATATATATGCATATATATATATATATATATATATATATATATATATATATATATATATAATTATTTATTTAAAAATATGATTCCAACTATATATATATACTGTGGGGGGAAACAAATATAACTAATAACTGACATCCATTAGACATTGCACGTCAAACTAGAACAGTCTACCCCAGCGAGCGAAATAAAATATTCAGTTCCACATTCCAACCACCTGAAGAAGTCAGAAGCGTACAATGGCCGAAACGTTGTGGTAAATATGTCAACAAAGATGAGGATGATAGTTCGAACAATGTAAAAAGTGAGCTGTAATAAATGACGTGAATATTTGTTAAATCGAACAGAGGATGTGAAAAGAATAAAGACGTGAAAATAACGTTCATATTTCTAAAGATATTTTAAAGATATATACAGTGTGTGATAAATAAATTGTCATCTATATTGCGCAAAAATGACATTTCATTTTAACTGTTATATTTACTAAATATTTACCAAGTAAGCTATAGATTTAAAAAAAAAAAAACATCCATCTACCTAAGATACGTTGATGATATCCTTATGTTAGTTAAAAATACAAATTAAATACTTCAACTTTAAAAACGTTTCCAAAATAATTCTGTCCTTAAATTCACACATGAACTCAATACTACTAATAAAAATCCCTTCCTTGATATATTGATAAACACAAATAATAACAAATTTACTATTTCGCCATACAAAAAACCTACCAGCATAATTTCATGTACACTTAACTACAAGAGCGAATGCCCATATTACTACAAAATAGCAATTATAAAGAATCTAATACATCGTGCAGAAACTAATTCATCCACCAAACAGATTTTTTACAGTGAACTAAAGAATATAAAACAAACACTTATTAATAATA